GATCTTGCAAATTTGAATTCTTGTGAAACTGAAGTTTTGAGAATTAAATTTCAGTGAATTCTTATGAAGCTGAAAGGTTCTTGTGAATCTAAACCTTTGAACTTCAAACTCAAATTGTGAATCTTTGAGTTTCTATTACAAATTTCATCAAACCTAATCTGACTCATCCGAACATGATTGTGGATGAGCTTTTATTTTTTAAAGTTATGGTGCCTCTGTTTAGAGGAGCATTTTACTTTTTAAAGTTATGGTGCCTCTATTTAGAGGAGTATTTTACTTTTCAAAGTTGTGGTGCCTCTATTTAAATGAGTAATTTACTTTTCAAATTTGTGATGCCTCTGTATAGAGGAGCAATTTTATTTTTCAAAGTTGTGGTACCTCTATTTAGAGGAGCAATTTTATTTTTCAAAGTTGTGGTGCCTCTGTTTAGAAGAGCATTTTACTTTTCAAAGTTGTGGTGCCTCCGTTTAAAGGAGCATTTTACTTTTCAAAGTTGTGGTACCTCTATTTAGAAGAGCTTTGTTTACTTTAAAAAAACCAAAAAAAATAATAAAAAAAAACTAAAAAAAGGTGAATGTGTTGATATGATCATTTGAATAAAAGAGTGTCTACGTCTTTGCACAATTCCTATTTCACAGAAAATGTGCATGTGCAAAGAGGGATAGCTGTAGACACCTCAATTTGTCTAGAGCTCTACTTGTGATTTTTGCTAATAAAAGAATAAAAAAAAATAGGTAGTTGAGTTTGTGTGAAATTATTGGAATTAGTTTGTAAAGTTGAAGTTGGGTTTAAGGTTAAAATTTAAAGGTAATTGGGATTCCTTTCTGGATTGGAGTTCTCAAATTCAAAACCCTATAAATACTTACCCACATAGATCATACAAACACACATAAAAAAAATTAGGGAGAGAGGCAGAAATCAGAGAAAGCAGTCAAAAAAATTTTTTGGGGTTAAAAAAAAATATTTTTTGGAAAAAATCTGAAAAATTCTCAGATTTCGATGACTTTTTCCAATCTTTGTCTCAAGCTAAGCCAAACGAAGCCATTTTTTAAGCCATTCCAGCTTTTCTTCCTGCAACTAAACCATGTTGTAGCCATTAAAGTCGAGCCGCCTCCTGTTTTAGGTATTTTTTTCACTTTATTTATTTTTTTGAGTATTTTTGCATGATTAAATTTTAGAAAAATAAAAATAAAAAAGGTAAAAAATAAAATAAATTTTGGAAATAAATATTAATTATCCAATGATGAAATTTATAGAAATTTCAAATGGTAAATTTCTATAAAATTCTTATGTGAGAAATTTTGTCTAAATTTGTCCCAAATGGTGAAATAATTTAGATAAAGTTTTAATAAAAATAATTAATATTTATTTTCAAAACAAAAAAAAGAAGAAAAATAAAAAATAAAAAAATATTGATAAAAATTTTAGAATGAAGTACAAATTACCCAATGATGAGATTTTTAGAAATTTTAAATGGTAAATTTTAAAGAAATCTCTATATGAGAAATTTCTCTAAATTTATCCCAAATTATGAAATAATTTAGATGAAATTTTAATAAAAATAATTGTATACTTTTCCAAATTTGGTTAAAAATATTTAATAATTATCTAATGATGAGATTCTTAGAAATTTCAAATCATAAATTCTTAAGAAATCTCTAGCTAAGAAATTTCTTTAAATTTATCCAAAATGGTAGAAGAATTTAAATGAAATTTCAATAAAAAAATAATTGTCATATTATTTTCCTTCAAAAGATAAAAAAATAAATAAAGAGAAAATATTTCTAAATTGACCCAAACGGTGAAAAATTTTAAAACTCTAACAAAAAAAGAGAGAATTTCTAATTATGCTCAAATGGTGAAAATTTTAAAAATAAAAAAAATAAAATATTTTTAAATTGACCCAACTGGTGGAAAATTTAGAAATCCAATAATAAAAAAAAGGAATTTTTAAATGGGCCCAAATGATGAAAATTTTTGAAATTCAAAAAGAGAAAGTATTTCTAATTTGACCCAAATGGTGAAATAATTATATATATTTTTTATAAAAAAATAATAAATAAATATTTTTTCAATAACGCAGCCTTTTCAAGATATCAAATAAGATTCTTGAATACTCTTGAGGTGAAAAAATATTTTTAAAAATTCTACCAGATTGATGGAAGAATCTTATAAATTATTTTCAATATTTAACATAAAAATGTGAAACCATTAAACTTAAGACCCTAGGATAAATTTAAAATAATATGGTACCATACTTCGGATGGGCATGTGGGGGTGCTATAACCTTCCTCACATATAATTGAACTCTTGAACTATGTTCTGGTTTGTAGACCCGAACCTATTCTTTTAGGGACCCTTAGTCAAACTTAGGAGTTCCTTAAGATGATAGATTCCTTAGGTAGTCAATCACACCTAGTTAAACAAGATTGGTGATGACTCCATTTGTTAAGTTTAACTATAGATTTACGGATCTATATATTATGACAATACATATTAAAATTTAATGTTCACAATCACACATATTAAAAATAAGAAAAGTTTCAGTGTCTTTAAAACTAATTAATAATTGGGGTGCTTTTGTTCCTTTTGCAATCATTTTTCTTGTTGTTTGTTATGGGGATGATGGTACTGCTAGCAGTGGCATTACCAAGCTTTGATTGGTGCATAGATTGTTGCTACCAATAGCAGTGGTCTCATGGCTGGTGTTGGTGTTACAGAAAGATGGATTCATGTAAAAAAAACTTCCAACCATCAAGAAAAATGTGGTTTCATTTCCATGTGAGGGGCACCAATTACTTCAAATCTAGCATTATGTTTGTGTTGCATGTTCTCACTTTATAGCTAAACAAGCTTGGGATTGTTGGACCCATTTTCCTTGTACTCCATGGAAGGCCAATTGAAACCTTTAATTCTTTAGTTAATTACTTAAACCACATCGAGCATTGGGAATTTTTAGGGACTAAATATAGATTTCATAATTTTAGACATGATACGATGATAAAATATAGAAAAAATCATATATTTTTTTAAAAAATGTGTTTTATATGTACCTATGTAGATACAAATTTTGACGTATCACAATTCGTGTTGTATATGTGTTAATTCATTTAAACATGTGTCATGATATGAATAATACGTTTAATTTAATTTTGTCATATAAGTAAACCTTTAATATGTTTAAAACATTTTTTATATTTATTTTAACTTAATATAAACATATAAAGATTATTTTAATTTTTAATTTTTTAATTATGATACTTATTTAGCTATTTAATTTCATATAAAAATTATTTTAAACATTTAATTATGATATTCATTTAATAATTATTATAAAATTATTTTTTATATTAATAATATAAATACAATATAAATATAATATTAGTCATATATATTATTATTTTATTCTCTAATCTTTAATAGTTTATCATTTTGAATTTGATACTAAAAATTAATATAGTTATATAATATAAATTAAAATTTAAATATATATATATATATTAAATACATATTAAATGAGATTTAATTTTTTTTAATATGTAAGTACTTTTTTATATTATTAATATGCCCAATTTATTAAGTTATAGATAATGGATTGTTTATAATTATTTACTATTTTAATCATGTTTTTGTATATATTTATGTTAATCGTATTTATTATGTATATCTGTACTATTTGTGTTTATTTCTATCGAATTTAAATGAATTAGTTGCACACGTGTTAATCATGTTGTATCAAATGTAGCACGTATATTAAACATATTGTATTCCTATTTAGGATTTAAACACTTTTATAATTCGTGTTGTATTCATATTTTAATAATTCATGTTATTATAGATATCAAATACAACATAAAATATAACACAAAGATATGAATTATCAGGTCTATTTAAACAGCCATCCAAACTGATGAGGTTGCCATGTGATTGATAGCAAATGTTTTGGAATCATTATTGTCATCTCTCAATTCAATTCAATCACTAGTGCAAATGTTAGCATAATGTCAACGATTTCTTTCCACTTTAATTGCTAAATCCAAGGTTCTTTTTTTCTAAGTTGTATTCTATTTTTCATTTTCAATCTATTGATTCCTCTTTGAACAATCATTTTCAGTATATAAAATTTATGTTTGAGGCAGGAATTGATCCTTTTTCATAATCATCTCCTTATTCATGTATCATTGATTTATTTCTTCATCTTATTTTTTCAATTTCCTAATATATTCTTAATCTTTTTATCCTTTTATTTACCTTATTAAAAAAAAAAATTACATGCATGAGTTCATTTAAACATATAACGTTCAAGCATAAAAAAAAAAAACTCATACCAATAGATTCAAATATCGATTTATTCTTAATCTTAAATTTGTTTTTTTTTTTTAAATTTTACAAGGAACAAGTTGATCATATCATTAAACCATATCCACATACAATATTATTACTAATAATGAGAATGACTAATTATTACTGTTCAAACCCATAAAAAAATTTTACGTAATCAATTTGTTTTGCTTGAGATAATTAAAAATCGAATCCTAATTACTAAAATTAAGAATATAATATTTTACCAACAAATCATAAGATTATTAATTATGTAATATATTAATTATAATTTAGCATAATCTAGAAACTTTATGGTATTAATTATTTATGCTAGGGCAAGGTATAAAGAAAAATAACATGCATTCATGGTAAGAAATTGTCTCCAATGGACAATATAATGATACCTTTGAAAAGATGCTTTTTTGTTGTTTCTTGTATTCTAAGAGAACATTTTATTTATAGATTTTATATTTTTAATAAATATAATTTTACAATTCTAATTACTATCCTAAAATTATTGTCTCTATGTAGAAAAAATATGAAAATCGACCTTCATGGTAAGGTTGACATGAGGGTTGGAATGAGTGGTAAACCCCTCACTCATAGGTTTTCAGGAGCTACAATTTTTATGTGTAATAATATTAAATAAATATATTTAAATTTTATATGTAATAATATTAAATAAAGATATTTTACGTTTTATTTTTTATATTTTCAACAAAATTTTCATTTTTTATCTTAGAAAAGTGGTATTTTTAACAAAAATTACGTTTTTATTTTAGAAACATCAACTTTATTAAATTTAAAAACATATATATTTCATGTTTTTAATAAAAATTGTATTTTTATCTTAAAAATGTTGTCTTTTCAATAAAAACTATGTTCGTAGTTTAGAAACACCATTTTTATTAAATTATGAAAACTATATATTTTTTTCATATTTTCAACAAAAACTATATTTTCGATATTATAAATGTTGTTTTAGTTGAATTCTGGAAGTATTTTTTTTCATGTTTTCAATAAAATATTGCATTTTTAATTTAGAAACATCATCTATTCAATAAAGACAACATTTTCTATCTTAGAAACATCGCCTTTGTTAAATTATAGAAATTTTTTTTTTTTTTTCATGTTTACAACAAAAACTACATTTTTATTTTAGAAATGTCGCTTTTTTAACAAAGGCCGCATTTTTATCTTAAAAACGTTGCTTTTGTTAAATTCTAGAAAATATTTTTTTCATACTTTTAATAAAGATCGTATTTTTTATTTTAAAAATGTAATCTATAATGAATTATGAAATATAATATTTTTCATTTTTTCAACAAAAATTGTGTTTTTAATCATAACTTTGTGAGGATTTCAATAGCACTGTATTACAATTGTGATCTTTGTTTAAAATATTTTAAGAAAAACTTATTTTCATAATATTTTATAAAAAAATATTACATTTTTTAAGTAAATAATGTTATATATATATAATCTAAAAATACAATTAAGTGAGGGCAAATTAGAAAAAATTTTTATTCTCCTCTAATTTCTCACTTTTTGATACTATTGAGAATTTTAAAAATTTTCAATAATTACATTATCATGAACTAAACAAAAAAATAAAATTTTTTAAAAAAATTATGTTCCTCCGAATCAAATGTCCCATAAAAGGTTTATAAATTATCTTATCATTCTATATGTTGTTGCTTGACAAGGATGATAAACAAGGGAAGTTTAAAAACTAACCCAATATTTTAACAAGATGATAGCATCCAACATGCCTATTACGAAAACAATGAAATGGTACAAGTTACTTCATGTGTTTTGAGAACTCAAATTAAGGTTTGAGCGGTGCTTGAACTCGAAAATGATGACAATAACATAAAAGCAAATTTATCTAAAACCTACTATATAAAAAAAATTTATTACTATTTTAAAGATTGTTTGGAGTGTTTATATTATCAATTACGAAGGAAAAGGAACAACAGGTTATATAGAAACTTGCAATAATCTTCATGCAAGTCTTAAATCATTTTAAAGAAGTTGTCAACTTAAAATTAATAGATTTATTGAAGTACACCAAGCATTAAGCAATCCCAACACAAAACACAGATTATACGAGCATATTAAATAATGAGATTTTAGATGTGGCTCTCACCGTATAGTACTTAGCTTTCATAGGATTCTAAAAGTGGCTCCCATAATGTAGCACTAGTTTTCGTTTGACTGGTAATTTTTTAAATAATATTTGTGGAGATTCATACCCAACATGTAAGGTATTGTTTGTTTTGACTTGAAGGCTTAAACGGTTTTATCCCACAAAAGGTACATATAAAATTTGATTTAAATTTTTACATATATATGTCATAGCAAAATCTCGAATTATCCCAATGTAGGATTAAGGTGTCACACCATGTTAATAGAAATCTTTGTGTAACTTGTGGCATACATGACTATATTTTTTATTGAGATTATATTTGATATACTGTTAGAATATAGATTTTATACACTCTTAATAAATCAAATGATGCATTCTTATTCATTATGTGAATTAAATGATACTACCTTATTAATGAGTAAATTTTTTAAAAAATTAATTTTTTGTACATTTGTTTCAAATATTAATATTTACTCATTAATAAAGTTGTCTCATCAGATTTATTGACATTATATAAAATTTATATATTGATAATATATCAAATATAAATTTTTTTTACATATGATTTTTTGTATGTTAACCACATTGGCTAGCATAATCTTGATATGTAGCATTATTTTTGCTTTTTTTGGATAAATTAAAATTTTCATTTGTAAAAAATCTATCCAAAAAAGGGCTTTTCCTAAATTATATATATCAAATAACCAAATGTCTCGGGGGTTTAGGAATTTTTGTATAGGTTAACTCTTCCATTAATAAAATTAATTGTACCTTGGCTTTGAAAAAGAACACATGAAACGAAGGAATATCACTTATGATAATTGTAGTATAATTAATTAATTATAATTTAAAATTATGTGGAGACTATTAAAATTTTATATGAAATTCACATTTAAAATTATGATTGAATAATTATAATATTATAATAAAAAAATTATAGATGAAATACTCCCACATGAAACTTGTCTGATTTAGCTCAAATTTTCGTTTAGATTTTAAGGCCAAGCCTGATTGGTTATGGGCCTAACTTTGATTAAAGTTTCTATTAATAAATGCTCATCTTAGTCTCTCGTAATTACATGTATAAATAAGTTATTTTTGAATTATTTGGATTCATCTAAAAAATAATTTAAATTCAATTATATTATTATCGAATCGAATTTAAATTTAAATTATTTAAATAATAAGTTAAGTAAAATTTAAATAATTTAATATTCGATTCGAGAAATTTATTAGTGTAATCAAATTTAATTATATTTTTATTTTTTAATATATTTAATATATAAATAAATAATAAATATTTAATATTTAATATCACTATTTATGATTTTATCGAACCAAACTCGAATGATTTAATTAAATTACAAATGAAACTTGAATATTAAAAACAAAACAGAATTGATTTTGTGTTAAATTTCGAGCCAAACTGAAAGTATAAGAGTATATCAACTCGATTCTTAAAAGCAATGCCAGAGATAAGCCTGGCAATTTACATTTCTTATCACCTACTTATGTTCATGGAGCCTTTGTGCCTTACTATGGGCTTTAGCCCAAAGCCTATCCTACTCATTGATCTCATTCAAAGTGCTGTTCCGCCCCTGAAATCTCAGAACTCAAGAAAACTAAAGAATTTCTCAAAACCGTAATCGCATCCTTTCATCTCAATTGCTTAAGCCTTCTAAGATATTTGATCTTTGATTTTCTTCATTTTTTGGTTGTGATGATGGTCACTTCTGCTTGCAATTTACCTTCTTGTTCTTACTCAATATGCCCATTTACCGACAAGCAAACTCACCCACGATCATTGGGAAACAGAAACCCATTGTTATTCAGATTACAAGCAGCAAAATTCAGTTGTTGCAAAGCCAATAATCAGCCTGAAATGGCCTTCATCACAGAAACGAACGAAGAAAGAAGAAGTTTTAAGTGGGTTGAGATTGGTCCCAACATCACAGAAGAACAGAAACAAGCGATAACCAAACTTCCATTCAAGATGACCAAGCGATGTAAGGCTTTGATGAAGCAGATTATTTGTTTTTGTCCTGAAAAAGGGTGTTTGTCGGATTTGTTGGGTGTTTGGGTTAAGGTCATGAAGCCCAGAAGAGCTGACTGGCTTGTGGTTCTTAAAGAATTGAAGATGATGGAACATCCGTTTTATTTTCAGGTACAGTTTACATTTCACTTTTCAAATGATTTCTATTTGTATTTTGAGGATGTGAATTAGTTGTAGTAATAGGAATAGAATGTTAGGAAACTGTACTTTCCATGGAAATTGTCAGTCCCAACTCTATTCATAACATAATTATGAAATGGAATTGTTTGTAGTGAGCTGTCTTGACAAGGTAAGAATCTAAAATCAAGGTCAGCTAATAGCAAAGGTCAGAGGTTTTTCCCGCGTTCTTGTTCCACGTTTAAGTCAGTACTCGGAAAGAAAGGGGAGAGAAAACTTGGTAATTGAAAACTAGTAAATTAAATCAATAGTACCTGAGAGAGAGTGGCTATTTATACGGTGAGAATGTCGAGCTTGGGTGGCCGGAGCTCCCAATGATAGGGTTAGGACTAGGGCTAGGGCTAGAGCTAGGCTGACGTTGCTTGTCCGACCTAATTTAGCAATCAATAACCAATTGAGAGGTGATAAGTCAGCATTGCCTTGTGTTTTGACATGGTAAGTTGAGGTGGCCAAGCTGACATGGGACCTGAGGCTTCAGGTTGGTGTGACATGTCAGCTTGAGTCAAAATAACGATATGTCCCCATCTAGTTGATGACTCTTACTCTGAGAAAAAATGGCTATTTTGCCCTCCAGACCATAAAGGTCTCTAACAAGAATGATTGTTCTTTATTTTTCAAAAGGAAGCTACAGCAATGAAAGGGTTACAAATGCTATGATTTGAATTCCAAACATGTAAAAATAATTGCATGAACCAATTGAGTTGAACTCTCATTCATTGTTCCTTCGGTCTTTCTAGCTAGTTGCTCTGCTCAATTCGGAATTGGTAAGAATGAAGAAGAGGGCATTAGGCGAGCATATGCTAGTGTAATGTTAAGATGCCTGTATGATTTGTGGACTAGAATAAGCTATTGCATACAGAACTGGTCTGCGAATATTGGTTTTTACAGGTTCATTAACCTCTCTATAATAATAGTAATAGAGCTTCTGCCGGTGAACTTACTTAGGGATTATATATCCCAATTCAAATCTCAGTGGCATATTTATGAGGTGAAGTAAAAGTTACTTGTTTTCCATTACTAGCTTGTTACTTTGTTCGGTTCTGAATTCAAAGATCCTGACATGCAAATGACAATCAGAAATAAGGAAATGATGTTTGTACAGCTTATGCTTGATTCATGTCTCATTGTTCTTTGTCTAGGTGGCAGAGCTTGCCCTACTTGAAGAATCTTTTGAAGCCAATATTCGCGATTACACTAAGATAATCCATGGTTACGGGAAGCAAAACCGGCTGCAAGAAGCTGAAAACATTCTTGTTGCCATGAAGAGAAGAGGTTTCATCTGTGATCAGGTAACTCTAACAACCATGGTTCACATGTACAGCAAGGCTGGAAATCTTATGTTGGCTGAGGAAACCTTTGAAGAGATTAAGCTGCTCGGCCAACAACTGGATAAAAGATCATATGGCTCGATGATTATGGCCTACATCAGAGCTGGAATGCCTGAACAAGGGGAGGTTTTGCTTAGAGAAATGGATTCCCTGGAGATTTATGCTGGAAGTGAGGTTTACAAGGCACTACTGAGAGAATACTCCATGCTTGGTGATGCCAAAGGTGCACAAAGAGTGTTTGATGCCATTCAGCTTGCCGGTATTTCTCCTGATGCCAGGCTTTGTGGGCTCCTGATAAATGCCTATCAAGTGGCAGGTCACAGCGAAAAAGCACGTATAGCATTCGAAAACATGAGGAGAGCTGGTGTTGAGCCTACTGATAAATGTGTAGCTCTGCTGTTGACTGCTTATGAAAAGCAGAACAAGCTCAATGAGGCCTTGGATTTTCTAATGGCTTTGGAGAGAGATGGAATTGTGATAGGGAAAGAAGCTTCAGGTGTCCTTGCTCAATGGTTTAAAAAGCTTGGGGTAGTTGAACAGGTGGAACTTGTGTTGAGAGAATTTGCAGCCAAAGAAACCAATAGCAGTTGGTGTTAAAACATTGATCTTTAGTTTCTTTTTCAGACATCATCTTGTGGCCAAGTTGTAAAAACTGGTTAGATTGACTTGGTAATTTGTCATGTTCCTGCAGCCTCTGTATATCAATATATTTGTTTTGGTAGTACTAGTACACCTATGTTTTTGTTTTAGATTCGATAATTTAAAATACGAAATTTTAACATGATGTGAAAATGATAAAAAAACGAAAATGATATGACTTAAAATTTTAATAAAAATTATATGAGTTTAATTAATAATAAAAAATATGTTTTATATTTTTCATATCGGTATGAATTATGACATATATATGACAGGGATATACAAATATTTCTATGTTAAAAATTTGATTTCCCTTGCAGCAATGTAAATAATTCTTATCAAGAATTTTCTAGTAAGTAATATATGATACATTTGGATCACAATGAAATTGGTTTTTGGTGAAGTTAAAATAGGTTATGTTAGTAAGATTAATTATTAGAACGGTTAGATTAAGTATTATAGTGATAAGATTCAAATTAATGATAAAATTATGTGAATGCAAACGTAACAATAATGGTAAGATTGAGTATAACAGTATATATTCAATAATAATAAAATTGAGTACAACAATAATGGTATATTAAAATTATGATTTGAAATTTTTATTAAAATTTTAAATTATTTTTATATTTTATATTATTTTTATATCATGTCATGATATATTATTTAAAATAATTAAGTGAACTTATTTCTCCCTGATTTTGTTTTTACTTTTAATCATTTTTAATGTATTAAAAATTTCATCAATTCTATCAAGCACTCGTCAAAATAAAAGACTATAAATGATAAAGGTTCAAATTAGATGAAATTTGATTCGAATTTTTTAATTTTATTTATTTATTTTTATATGTTATTTTAATATATTTAAATAAATTTATATAAAATACATAATTTTATTTTATAAAAATTAAAATATATGTAAAAATTAATAATAATATATAATTTGATTTAATTCAAATTTTCATATTTTGATATAAAATTTGATATGAATTTAATATATATATATATATATTTAATATTCAATTAATTCAAATCGAATAAAAAATAAATTAAATTAAACATTAAAATTTCGAATAACTTTTTATTTTCACGATTTTTTTTCTAACTCCTAACAAAGGCCTCCTTGAAATAAGTGCTCAAGACCAAATCTAAAATTTCCAAACTATTGTCAAGCCAAGTTGGGGACAGCTTGTATCTGAAATAATCTTTGATAAACGGCCTGCCTAAAAATAATAGGATTTAAAATTATAATAATAATTATATATAAATTTAATAAAATAAAAAATATATATTTTATATATTTATATTAACAAAAATTATTATACATAATTTTTATATAAAATATAATATAAATTCATTAATTTTAATATTTTATGAATATATAAATTAAGATAAAGGTTACTAATCGTAACACCAACCACTCATATTCTTGCAGACACTTCAAAAATTTTTTCTTAGCAATTCATAGACTGCTGTCATTGGTATAGTCTCTAGCGGTTGAAGGATATACCATAAATGGCAAAAGAACCCTTGATGGTTTCTGAATTATCAAGAAAAAAAAAATCAGAAATGCTATTAACCAAAAACAAAAAAAAAAATAAAAACACAATGGAAAAAGAAAGAAATGAAATAACAAACAAGCGAAAAAAAAAAAAAAAACAAAGTTCCGATCATATTTTTTTAAAAAATTATGTTTAATTTTTATTAAAATTTTACATGATATTATTTTTTAATTTTATTTTTGTATAATATTATTATATCATATTTAAATTATCCGATTGAATATAAAATAATGTAATTGAAATGAAGAAAATAAGCGTAAAAAGTTCATATTTTATTTGTAAAAAAAAGACAAAAAGCATGTCATTTAATAATTATTTAAAATATAATATAATGATATGATATAAAAAATATAAAAATAATATAATTTAAAATTTTTATAATAATTAAATATAAATTTAATAAAATAAAAAATTAATATAAATTATAACATAATTTTAAAATAAAATAAAATATAAATATATAAATTTTAATATTTTATATAATATAAATACACTAATCATCGGATTATTTCACTGCCAACTTTGCTGCTTTAAATGGAAGACACGAATACATATATTTTAGAAAAGCTTTTTACTTTTTCACTTTAGCTTTTCTCCCTTATTTCTCAATTTTTACTAAATTACTATTTTAACTCCATTTTAATTCAATTTCCATGTTCAATTTCCCCTCTCACGGTCGTGAAATTCCTTCTTAACCAAAATTTATATATTGAGGTTATCAATTTACATAATAATTAATAATATTTTTAACCCTTATTAAAAAATATTTTATTTTTAATTTCTTTTTGATTTTTCATATTTTGTAATTTTTCACCTTTCTAAAGTAAAAAATCTCTGTTCAGACAAGGAAAATGAAACGAAGGCCAATGGTTTTCTGAAACTGAAACCCAGTGTTTGTGTTTTTTATACTTTAGATTTTTTTTTTTTTTTTTAAATCTGATTGGTTGACAAGAATAAGCTTTTGAAAGTACCTTGCTTGAAAAATGTGAACAAGTCTGAGAGGAACAGTGCCGTACTTATACGGTACAGGTATGATCTCTACATTTTTTTTGTATAAAAATCCATGCGTTAATGATTTTCTATTTTTTTTTCTTTGAAATGAAAATTAAAGTTTTCATTTTTGGTTGAGTTACAGTTTGATTTGAGGATCTAAACAAAAAGCTGAAGTTTGAGTACAAGTAGTTTCACTTGTATCTCTTCTTTCATCTTAAAATTTTTTTTTGAGGATTTTTTGTTTAGAAGTTTTAGCTTTTTTTTTTTTTTTTAATTTTTGAATATTTTTAAATCTATTACAATTGTCACTGGGGATTATTTTTCTAAATTTTTAATGAATTTCAAATTTGGACTAATCTCTGCTTGAGCTGCAAGTGAAAGAGAGCACTGGTTTTAGTAGTTTTTTCTTGTTGGGTTTACTCTGAGGATATTGTTTTTATTGTTTGTTTTATGATTTTTGATTGATGGATTTCTGTTTTCTAGGTGGCTTTGTTTGCCTTATATGCATGGAAGCAAATCCAGGTGTTACAGTGATAGGAGCAGAAGCTCCATCAGCTTATCAGATGGCGCCAAGGACAGATAACGCTAGACAGATTGGTGGCGGCTCAATGGCGGTGGAGGCTTCTCCAGTTAAGTGTAGGATTAACTGGTAGTATGAAAAAGAAGAAGAGAGGTAAGCCTAGGAAATATGGACCAGATGAGACAATGGCAATGGCATTGTCGCCAATGCCTATTGCCTCATCTGTCGCGCCTGGAGGAGGCGAGTTCTCTGGTGGAGGAAAGCGGGGAAGAGGGCAAGGCAGTGGTTATCAGAAGGGAATGGAAATGGAGAATTTAGGTAATATCTAATAAGCCCTTTTGAAGAAAGTTGTATGTTTGTTTGTTTTTTACTTCAAATTTTAGCATGTTTTTGTCTTAGTTCAAGTTCGCTACGAAGAATCGATGAGGATGGTGTGAATTTCATGTTATAGATTTGGTAGGGGATAGTAATGTTTCTGGTTTCTGTTGGAGTATGGTTCAAGCTAAGTGCAATTGCCAATTAGACATGCACCAGGGTTTTGAAACCGGTCGCCTGATTGATTCGGAAATTGCTGATTGCCCCTTTGAAAGATTCCATATGTGAAGTCATTCCTTAATAATACTTGTTGAACTTTTTTGTGTGACCTTATTGGAGATGCTGTTGTTCAGATTCGGTAGTGGATAGTAACGTTTCTGGTTTCTGTTTTGTTTCTTGCTTCTATTTCTTGGAGTATGGTTCAAACTAAGTGCAATTAGTCCTGCACCAGGGTTTCGAAACCGGTCACTCTGATTGATTCAGAAATCGTGAGTGCCTCTTTGAAAGATTCCATATATGAAGTCACTCCTTAATAGTACTTGTTGAACCTTTTTTCCAGGACCCTTGTCGGAGATGCTGTTCTTCAGATTTGGAAGTATAATGCCGGTTTTGTGAATGAAAAAGTGGCGTTTTTGTGTGGTTGGTGTGACTAGTGACTTGAGAGGTTGAGGAATATTCTTCTTGTGGCCTTTTCATCGAGGATTATTCAAGATGCTTGCAATGATACATAGAAACAGAATTAAACTTGTTAGAGGAGCAAATTGCTTGATCGGTAATTCCTTTTTGTTACCAAGGATTAAGCAGACAGAAAATATGTTTCTGTTCTTGACCTTATGGAATCTGGTTTCCTGAAGTATTAAACGGCTACGTTGCTCGTTCCAAGTTGAAATCCTTCGTTGAATTCATGCCAAATCTCAGCCATGTGTAGACCTATGTTTCTGGTTTTACAAACATGGCTAAAGTGCATATTAGTACATAATTTTTTTACTTAAAGAGCAAAATTCCATATTTACCGATGTTCCTTAACTGTTTTGTAGGTGAGTGGGCTACGTCTGTAGGAACAAATTTTACGCCATATGTCATCACTGTCAATGCCGGTGAGGTACGCTTTGATATGGGAAAGACATAGAAGAGTGGCTTTGCTACTTTTGACGGAAACATTCTTGTGATTCATTTCTATCATTGTCAAAACTCGAAGACTTATGCAGACATCCTGGGTCCATTCTTTTTGTGGCTGTTAGTGTCTTTCAAATTGTGTTGGATCTTTTCCTTGTTCATATTTTTAAACCTTAGTCCTTGACACATGGCCACTGTCAAACCATGAAACTTTGTATTGTTTTTGGGGAGAATTTGCCGGTCTCTACGGTGTTTGTTATCGTAGTTTCGCTTCTTAAACTATGAGATTCATGTTAAAGATAAGTTTAGGGTGGCACTTTTACCTATTCTTTTCTTTACTCCATATTCAAGAGGGTTTCTTTATCGGTAAATCTACATTTTTCCTTACGTAATTGTTGATTTTCTTTGGTGTTTAAGGATCTAACGATGAAGGTGATATCCTTTTCTCAACAAGGACCAAGAGCTATGTGCATCTTATTTGCTAATGGAGTAATTTCAAATGTTACACTTCGTCAGCTCGATTCTTCAGGGGGTACATTGACGTACAAGGTTAGACAAATTAGAACTTACCATCACATTTC